TACCATCTTTTAAAAAGAAAAGATATTCTATCATTTAAAAAATATCCATCATTTAAAAAGAAAAGATATTCTAGCCTTGAAAAGGTCCTAGTGTCAGATTTTTAAAAAAATTCTCTTTAAGTTGGGTCAGTTTAGCTTTCTAAATATAAGTATTATATTGTTCGTATTTGTATAATTTTTCTATAGACTGGTGAAACCCATAGGAGGAACTAATACTACTATTAAGAGTCACCGTTGTCTAATAAGGGGTCACTGCAGAAAACACCCCTAGATAAACAGACACTATGTATATTTCGTCAGTCACTATTCAGAAAGTTGTGGAGAAACAATTCAGAGGATTTAAGAACGTGAACTAGATTTAACATTATTTAGGTTGGGCAAAGGCAATTTTTTGGGTTGAAGTTAAAATTTAAATAATAAAACAATAAAACTAAATTGACCTTAATGATCTTCCCCGGTTTCCCAAGCCTCAGTCATGAATGTGTTGTGTTCACAAGTTTTGTCGTATTTGCATAACACCCCCTACTATCATTTATTTAATATGTTTCCATTAGGTCTCCCTCCTGGCCAACAATATCTATGAAATCAGAGGTTTGATGAGCTGGTGGACACATTTAATCATTACACATTTAATCATTCTGCCATCTAAAAGCATCTTGCATATTTCTTCCCACAAACACTAATCTAGTCTAACTTCCTTATTTCATGGAGGCCCAGAGTATTAACGTGTTCATTACCTAATGTGTTCATGATCTTACTTGATGAGGATGGCAGAAGCATTGACGGATTTGAAAAACAATAACAAAAGAGATTCTGTTCATGGGCTGATTGTCAGTTTAATTATCTGTAAGTTACATATCCTTCAAAGATCCTGGAAGTTACCTGTCCCTTCTATTAGCAATTTCTTTTTTTTTTTTTACACAATTCTCATATGGCTCAGCACTCTCTGCCTTGGGTCATCCATTCATCCAACAAATACAGAAGGTGACCAAAAAATGTATACACATTTTAAGAAAGAAAAACTGTATTAAAATTGTAATACTCAATATATACCAATAACAAAAGATAAATACAAGTCACGTTTGACTTCTGCAATTACAAGAGGTGCTCAAAGTGGTTGCCATCAGTGTCCAGACACTTCTGATTACGGCGAACTACTGCTTGAGCAACGGTGACCAAAGTCTCCACATCTTTGGGGGGCACCCCCGGTATTTATTGAGCACCTACTGTGTGTCAGGCATTGCTTGGAGCAAAACAGACTAATCTCCTTGTCTTCATGAGGCTTATAGTCTAGTAGACTTTTATAGCCTCCTAAGTATATTTTCCTCTTCTAAATTCTAAATTCCTGGAGGACAGATCTGGGTCTGATTTAACTTTGACTCCTCCACAACTATTCCAAAATAGTTCCAATAATTGTTTGGATCTTAAATTAGCTGTATTTCAAGATAAAGTTGTACAAATTCATTTATTTCAAGCAAAGTAACAAATTCTCTTTTTCCAGTTTAAGAAAATGTTTTGTATTTACCTTAAATTTTAATGATTTCCCAAATCACATTCAATGTCACTAATCTTTAACCTTTACGGAAAGAAAATAAAACCAAAGATTTTTTTTTAAGTGTTTAATAGCTCACAGTTAAGGTGATGACAGTTGACCATTTCCAGCTTCTGCACGGAGTCTTCTTCTATTGATTTTTTTTTCCCTCCTGTATTTTTCTTCCTCTTATAAAAGAAATAAATGATAGTCATATATTGACATTTTTTGCAAAGATTAAACCTATAAAACAGGTAAACTAGGGCTTTCCAGCTGTAACTATCATGTTTCATCTCATCTTTTTAGGGAATTCTTTGGCTTTCATGTAAAATCAGGGGGGATTTTAGAGGGAGCATAAAGCTCCAGAAATCTGGCTCCTGGTGAGATGCTCAAGGTCATGAGCCTTTGGTAAGAAAATCAACTTCTGTGCCCATCTCTCCTTCTCCAACCATTAGATGATACTGCCTCACCCCCAAATAAGAAAGTTGTTAACAGTTCTCAGCAAAATAAAAATATGCACAACTTATCAACTTTGTTATATTTAGTACCTTTTAAAAAAAAATGGGGGGGGGGGAAGCTAGCGCGACTTTCCAGAGATAAAGAAAAAAGCTTGTAAGTCTAGATGAGAACCAAATACGTTCCGCAATGGGGCCTTGTCTTGGGTCTTTGTTGCCTTTTTATTCAATTTTTAGTATATGGTTAGAACTGTCACATTTCCTGAATGATGAGGACAAAACCAACTCAAGCTTTCTTTCTTTCTCTTTGTTTCTTTTTCCCTCTACATGCAAGAGAACGTGGCTGCTAGTTTAAGAATTGATCGAGCCGACCCTCAAATAATTATTCATGTACTTTTCTCTGGCTTTCTTATTCCTCCCACTGATATAAATAGTTTCTTCTTCTATGGTAACTCTGCCTGTAGTGAAAACGCTGCAGTGCGGCTGAGAGGCTGGTGTTAAGACTGCAAATTATGCGTTAGGGATGCTCTTGCTGCACGTCAGCTTGGAAGCAGAGTTTTATTTCTGCTCAGGCCCACACCTTTGCTTGCCAGCGAGACAACGGAGCGTTGGGTGTCTTTGGCCACCTGGGTTCGTAAGCCTTGGAAGCCAACACCTATGATTCCATGATCAGGAAAATAACAATATACCCCTCTGAACAACAACAAAAAACTCTCACTCCTTTGATAATAGTTCTTAACTATTCCAGAATAAAGGTTCTGATCTCTTAACTTTTCATAGATTTACGACCTAGAATTGTTTATTCATTCTTGGGATAGGGTGTAAGAAAATCTAGGAGCTAGATCAAAAACAGGACCAGTATAACATACTCTTACTATCAAAGTATCATCACCCATCAAAACTGTATCAGCCCGTTAAGCACTTGAGCCACTCAGAAAATGTTTGAGGATGTAACACATAAGGATTGCACTATCCACAGAGAAGACTACCAAATAAATATAATATACACTGTCTTCCTTTAAAGACATTTAACTTACATAGGGATACATATATAAAGTTGTTGATTATAGAAGGTACAAATAGATAAAACTTACCTTAGGAAATGGAAATTGTTACGGGCATCAATATTTAGAGAAGCTTCTGAGATTAGCTAGAACTCAAGGTTAGATAGTTAGACATAGGTCTTTCAAGCCAGGAAAAAGCTTGTCCTTGATGAAATGTACAATAAAGGGCAACTGAAAGTTCTTCAAGCTGTTCTTTTAACACAGTGTGTCTGACAGCAGTAATTAGGGCACAGAATGGAGAGATGAAGCTCATCTGGAATTGCATGTGTTTCAAAAAACTAACAATTTTCATCATGAGTCTTCATTTTCCCTGGGTGGTAAAAATGTCATGCCAGTCAGTCAGTTCCCCTGGGGTTGCCTCTTGCATTTGGATGGCACCACGGTGCTAAGGCACTGAATGATTGGCAGGGGGCGGGACATCTGGTCCTCATGTCTGAACTGTTCTCTGCACTGTCCCCTTGATCTCCTCCACAGTGGCTCTCTTGGATGCCTCACTTGTCTGGCTTAGGGCTCCTCTTGTGTGTATGGGAACTCACTGTCCTGCTTCCCTTTGGAGATCCCTAAGAGGTCTTACCCCACACACCCAATTCTAGTATGCAGGGAATTCTGGGGTACATGATATTAGACCATAGGCTATCGGCTGTTCTGAATCCCCTCAACCTTATGGGGTTTTTTGTTACGTTACCCTACTCCTCCAGGGTTCAGCCTGGAGGGAAACAAAGGGGCATGCCTTATCTCAGATAAGTACCCCAACTTCCCTTTGGTTTTCCTTCCAGCTCTCTCACCTGAGTCCTGGAAAATCTCTCAGGGGCAGAGGGAGCCCTTGCTCCTGCGTTATCATGAATTGGCCATGATCGGAGCCCTGCGTCTCCTGAGGCCCAAGGCCCCTGAAGCCCAGGAGCCTTTTCACTCCTAAGCCACAATATCATTTCTCCTCGAGTCAATGCCACTGGCATAAATGGGAGGTAACGGTAAGGGGTATACGAAGAAATGAGGAGCTGGCTGTATGATCCTTGGCTATCTCAAAATATGACTGCTATTGCAGTAATCCAGAAGTGAAGTGTAAGCACCAAGTGACATCAGAATGGAAATGACGGGAGATTAAACTAGAAATACAGGGAAGGTAGAAATAATGAGATCTTGTTTGTGGAACGCCCACAGGATGGAAGGAGGGAGGATGAGAACTCCAGGGATTGGCTGGAGGTGATGTCAGCTGTCATTGAGCATATTTTTTCATGGCTTGTAATACCCATTCTCCTTTCCCTTCATACTCTAATCCCCAGGTCCTGTTAAACATTTTCAAATCCGTATCCCTCCTCTCCATCATCACTGCTCTTGCTCATGCCTACGTCTCTCCTCTGGACTATCTATTGCATTAGACTTCTTATTTCTCTCTCTCTCTGCCCTCACCCTCCTGTAATTCATCCTCCATGCAGCCATGAAAGTGACCCTCCTAAAGCAACAATTGGGTCATGTCCACCGAATGTCTTCTCTGGCCCATTGGTGCCTGTAGTGCACCTAGCTCCTCTGCTCGCCGCCTTACAGAACATTACTTCATGGGGCCACTCCTGCTGGTCCAGCCTCACCGGTGACTGTCTGCCTAGGGCTGGAGTTCTGGCCAGAGAGGCAGCATGGAGCAATGGCCCAGAGCACGGGCAGACGGGCCGCACACAGCCCTCTGAGTGTGCACCCCACTGTTCTTTTGGACAAGTTCTTTAATGATAGTCATTCAGTGTCTTCATCTTCAAAATGCGGTTAGAAGGACTGAGAATATATTTACAAAGTGCCCCTGGTACACAGGAAGAGCTACGGAAGTGTTTGTTAAAGAAAAGAAAAAGAATTCTCTGGATTGTCAAGTTCTCTTCTACCTCAGTGAATTTACACCTTCAGGTTCTTACACTCATTTTAGGGAGCCTTCTTCCCCTTGGTCAATCTTTAGTCTTCCAGTTCCTCTGTGAAGCCTTTCTGCTATACTTTGTTCATCTCCCTACTAAAACTTCTATTGTGTTTTGATTTGTATTAGTTTCCTGTGGCTGCTGTGACAAATTACCCCAGAACGGGTGGCTTATGGTTCTGGAAGCTGGAAGTCTGACAGCAGCAGCAGTGGGCTGACAGAAAGGTGTCGGCAGGGCCGCACTCGTTCCAGAGGCTCTTGGGGGAAATCGGGTCCTTGCCTCTTCCCGCTTCTGGTGGCCCTGTGCATTCCTGGGGCAGTGTCCACATCACTCCAATCATCTCTGGCCCCGTGATATCACTGCTGCCTCCTTGTCTGTCTGTGTCAAATCTTCTCTGCCTCTCTCTCGTAAGGACACTTGTGATGGCATTGAGGGCCAACCCTGATAAACCAGGATAATCATGCCATCTCAAGAGCCTCAATTTAACACAGCTCCAAGGCCCTCTTAAACCATGCAAGGGAACGTTCACGGATTCCAGGGATTGGGACCTAATACCTTTGGCTGCCATGAAGCAGTTACTACATAACTGTTTGCAAGTATGTTGGTCTTTTCACCTTTGCATGATGAGGGTCTATCACAGTGTAAGCACATAATCTATAATCAATAACTGAAATACATGTAGAGGGGTGCCAGGATTGGGTACAGGTCCGTTGCCCATGTTTATCAGTATTCCATCTTTGTTAAGGCTTGATTTCCCTAGGTCAGAGCTATTTCTTTCACGTGCTAATCTGTGGTTGGAAGGAAAGTTTACTCGCGAATTAAACCAATTTCTAGGTTAGAGATATTAAGCAATGGGGGCCTTTATCCTTGTATCACTTCTGAGCTACAGTGAGGTGACCAAACAACTCCGTTCAAACGCCATTCCTTTCTAAGCCACGGGGCAGAAGGAAGTGGAAACGATGGAGGGACCCTGACAGCTGGAAGACGACTTTCACGGAATGTGAGAATGTGCAGTGGCAGAGTGACAAGCATGAGCTGAACTAAGAGTGCTGTCATCAGTTTGCCAGGCTGGTTTGTTGCCATTCCTTCACCATTTATTTTAAACACGGTTTTCTTCATAATTTAAAGCTCCTAAATTCATGGCTGTTGCTTCACTGACTGTTTCCCCATCTCCAATCACTTGAGTTCAGCACAAATCACAGGAATAAGTGATTCACCCCCAAGAATAAGTCTGTTCCAGCCACCACGTACCTGGAAAGACCACTCAGTAGCCATGCTAGTGTTTTTCTCAGCTGTTGAAAACCTTTCTTAATGAAAGAGGAAATAAGTACTTGCAATTAAAAAAAAGTGAACAAGTAGATTCCTTTGCACAATTATTCCTTGTAACTTATTTACTGTTTGCAATTGTTTACTTCTATGTCATCTTTGCACCTTTGGGCTGGTGAGAGCCCCCAGGAATCAGAAAGTTAAAAAAACTATAGAGCCCAAAAATGTTTCCAAGATTTGCCTAGGTAGGCCCATATTCAGAAACTTCTAAGGTTTGAGAAATTCCTTTCATGAACATATATCCAGATGCAATAAAACGCAATAGTCATCATCGATTTAGGTAGCATGGCTGGCACAAAGCTCATCTATCAGAGTGGTCTGGCACCTGTTGGAGAATTTTTGGTCCGAGTCGACGCCTGTAGCCTGTCCAACAAGAACTACTTCCCTTCTAAAATCATCTCGAACATCACACTCTCTCTAGCTCTGCTCCAGTCACTCTGTCTCTCATACAGCTTATACCTATGGAACTTAGCACATGATGTTCCCTCTGCTCAGAATGTTTGTCCCTCCTACTCTTCTCTTGATTCAATTCTATTCATCCTTTGGATTTCGTTCTGGCATTATTTCCTGAAAAGCTTTCCCAGACAAGGTTAGATCCCCTCAGCACTGCCTTAGCACTCGAGACCACTGACAGTTTGTATTCATGTGAATATGTGATGAAATGTCTGCTTCCTCCAGACTGTACCAAGCTCTCTGGGAGCAGGGAATAAGTCAGTTTTTGTTACCATGACATCACCAGCCCTTATCACAGTCGCTGGAACACAGTAAGCATGTAATGAATATGTCAATGTTGAATGAATATGTCGTGGAAATCTCATGCTCTCTCTGCCACCACTGGGTTGTTAGGCAAATTATTTAACTTCACAGAGCATCACTTTCCTCATTAGTAAGAAAATGCCTCCTCCAGTCCCAAAATTCTAGGATATTTATGGCTCCTATCTTGAGCATACAAGATTGATCAGGCTCTAGTTAGACAGCCAACACTCTCTGTTGTCTGCCTGCCGTGTAGCTCCCCACATGGAGACCATATGCCAAGTAAGAAACAGGAATTACTCTGACATACCTTTGCCTCTTTCTCTAATGCCACTACTTCATTCTGGCTTTCTTCACCTCCCATTTAAAATACTGTACATGTTCCGTTAAATGCTGGCCCTGTGTTCAGTCCTCTTCCCTGCCAGTCTATCTGCAAAGCTGCCAGTGGAACTAAAACACTGGACCCCTCTGCTTAAACACTTTCAGCGACTCCCACACATCTGGTACAAAACTCACCTCTTGAGAGGATGCCCTTCTAGTGTTCCCAACTCACCTCCTGCCCTCTCCTTCCCACTCAGGACCACTCGGGGGTGGGGATGGGGGCAACTACATGCTCTCCTTTCAGGTCCCTCTGTTTGTACATGCTGTTCTCTGCCTGGAAAACTGTTCTCCTCTCTAACACTTCCAAAGTCCCGTCCATCCTTTAGGCTGAGCTCAAACATCACTTGAACATGTCACCTGCCTTGACCACACCCTCACTCCCCAGGTTGAGCTTGTCACTCGCTGCCTGTATTCCCACAGAACACTTTGTACAAGCCACCATAATATTCAGTAAGCTGTATTTGTTCGCAGAGGGATGTTTGCGGTGAGCGCATGGGCCTCAAGTTCAGACTGACCTGAGGGTGAAGCCAATTCTGCAACTTAACTGTGTGGTCTTGGACATCATTCAGAGTCTTAGTTGCCTAATTTTGGAAAGGGGAGACATAACACCTAACTTATTGGGTGGCTGTTATTATAGATTAAATGGATACTGTGTTTCATGCACTTAGCTCAATGCCTGATCCATAATACTCAATCACTAACGGTAATTATTATTGGAAAGTGAATGTGTCAAACGCAAAAACCCAGGCCTACCTTTTGTTCAACTCTCTAGCCTGGTGATTGGCACATAGTGGGTGCTCTCAGCGAACGCTTCTTAAATGCATCAATGAAATAGCATCCCTGATGTTTCTTTACAGGAAGGATACAGGCTTACTCATTTTAGGAATTTCATTGAAGTGTCAAAAATCCTACTGACCTGATGACATACTTCAAATCATATGCGTCTTTCCTTTTGCTGAACTAGTCCTGAACTTAACACGGGTAACATAGTTTGAGAATCAAGTTAGAGTTTTAAGCGTTCGTGTTTTCTGCTAAATTCTCTCTTTAGGCTTTTCATCTCACCTGTATGCACATCAATTTCAGCCTTCACATAATCCTACGTGCACACTGATTATATCTTTCTTTCATATGAATCCCATCAATAGTGTGCACGTGTACAGGACTTATGTGCCAAGCACTGTTGTCCTATGAGCTTTTTTATCCTCTACAAGACGCATAACACCTGACTTTTCTAACATGACCGTGAGTGGTCAAACGCCAGCCACAGCATGGCAATGCCCCCAACAAGCGTCTTTAGTTCCTTGAAGGCAAGGTTATGTCTTGGCTTTTCCTCTGCGTCTCAGCCTGCAGCCTCCGAACCTCAGCGGCCTGTGCATTTCCTCTTCCGTCCATGGAATTAACTCCCGCTAGAGGGGCAGAGGGAAGACTATGTTCACGCTGAACAAAACTCAGAGGCTCCCTACGAGGTTTAAACTCCTTTCACCTTAGGAAAGCATCCTGTACTCCTCAGCACATCCCACTTTCCCGCTGTCATTTCGCTTCCGTGTTCCCGAGGGACTCCTTCTAGGGTCTCTGACAAGGACACAGGATCCTAAGGTTGAAAACCATCTCTGTCCCCTTCGAGTTCCCAAGGACGGGTCATCCTATGGGCCAAGGCGACTGTCCAGGGGCGGCCCTGGACCCCGGTCCCCGAGGGCGACCCTGTCCTGCCCCCGGGACGGGGGGCAGCGTCCCGCGCTCCCCGTGGAGACGCGGCGGAGGCGCAGACGTCTCACGTCCTCCTTCCAGGAGCCGCAGGGGCGGCAACGCTCGGTCGCGGCCCCACCGGAAACGGCCCCGAGCGCGTGCGGGGCTGCCGCCGAGGGTCCCGCGCGCGAGGCGGGGCCGCGGGGCCGGTCCCCCTCCCCACGGGGGCGCGCGAGGGCCGGGCGGGGCCGTCGTCCCTTCCGGGGAGCCGTGGCCGCCGCCGCGTCGGCCGGGCGGGCGGCTCCCCACCCCGCCCCCCGCAGCTCTGGGTGACGCTTCTCCAATAACAGCTCGCGGGGCGCCGCAGCTCCGCGCTCAGCCTGCGCCGGGCGCCCCTCCGAGCCAGCCCGTCCGCCGCGCCGCCACCATGAGGGCCGAGGGGTACGGCGGCCTGGAGCGCTTCAGCAGCCCGGGCAAGGGCCGGGGGCTGCGGGCCCTGCAGCCCTTCCAGCTGGGGGACCTGCTCTTCTCCTGCCCGGCCTACGCCTGTGTGCTCACGGTCAACGAGCGGGGCAACCACTGCGAGCACTGCTTCGCCAGGTAGGCGGCGGG